GGTCCAGTGGCTCGTCTGAGGGACAAGAGCTAGACATATTGAGTTAGCATCTCGATTCCCTTCAGCAACAAACGACGACTATGTCTTCCACAAAGAAGCTCTGATGGCCCACTAACGAAGCTATTTGGTAAACGGGGGGGGGGGCAAAGCACAAAATACCAAGATGAGTGGCGCAATGTGGACTTGCGTCGTAGGCGCGACTGCTGACGAAAACAAGTTCGAGAGAAAAATTCTAGCTACTAGTTGCAGATCCTGAAGACGATTATCGCCACCAACAATTTCCATAATAATGACTGAGAGCCAGCCAAATTTCTCCTCTACGCTTTGCATGACCAAATTTTGAATTCAGCTTACGAGAGACAGTTATGATCAAATCCTGGAATGCATGCCGCTGCAATCTGATGACAATTAATTGACATATGCCAACATTTCGATAGACACAAAATTCCAGACAAGAAAACAAAATACTGGATACAAAAAGGAACCGCCATCCGTAATTATCCGATACAAAGGCGGGATGAAATATTTCACACATTGGTGCATTATCCAATAGGTAAAAATTTTAAAAATCAATGAAAATGATCCCTAAATTAACACCTATGGAACATGGCTTTGTAAAGAATGTCTCACTGTATCGTAAAATGAAAAATTCCACAACCAATCTGACTTCTTTCGAATAGATACAACCTACCCATTCTCCTTACTGCCTGATGCTTCGATAACCACTTATTCAAAATAAAAAATTTCAAGGTCAAAATGGAAAGAAATTAAAAGTAGGATAGTTTATTGATAGTTTGTTTAAATACGCTGTAGACACGGCGTGCTCAAACGATCACCTCAATTGACTAATTGCAAGAGGCTGTCCAATACACCGTGAAATCTGCCGCTCTAGAAGTAAATTACTTTCATTCACCCGAGAAGGCTCATATTTATCTTCAGAGAAGAGGAACGTCAAAAGTAGAAAGCAGTCGAAATGATGCTCTGCTTCCTCATTCCTCAGAGATGCTAGGTTTTTCGCAATCCTTTCGCCCAATCATTCCGTACTCAGATCTGTAATAGTCGCTGCAGATTAGGCAGAATTGTGATTCCAATGAACCGTCCATTTGGAAGGATTTTCTTCAAAAATCGCCTGTGGATTAACCGTATAGGCAGAGTGAGGGTTACTCCTATTGTTGGACTTATCTTTAAGAACACGAATGGCTTCCATAA